AGGGTCCAACACAATATTAGGAAGGTGTACCTAATAAAGTGGCCAGTGAGTGTATATTACATTAATTAAATCAAAAATGTGAACACATATTTGACGTTAGATTTTTGTGGTGTTCTGTGTCAGTTAAAGCAGGTGTGACAGGGCTTTTTTTTAAAGAGCTGAGCTCTCCTGATCCTGTGTGACGTCACTGAGCAGGTTGGACCCAGTTAGGACTTGGATGTAAGACCACCAGACATCACCAGGTGTGAACACGCCTGCAAAAAACTAATTACAAAAGACATTTTTTGACGTTTATATGTGGGAGTGCGAATTTCCTTCCATATCAGATACAAAAACGGTGCTCCGCATTCATAAAACGCGAGTGATATTAAAGTTTCAGTGGTGGAAGATTAGTTGGAGAGCCTGTTGTTGCACTTTACTATCAGTAGATGGCAGCACGAGACCATGGTTTAATCTGGGCACAGCAGACAGAAGGTTGCAAGCTGGTGACTTTACCTACATGCATGACCCGGAGTTCTGTCAGACTAACAGACTTTTTTCAAATGACCACATGATTATAAAGAGATGTATCACTGATGCATTTACTCCCAGAGATCATTTCCATTTATTCTTATAAGAATATCCAACACATTATGCATAAAGGAGGATTATTAGTGGAGTAATAGGTTTTCCTCACTTTACAGGATCTGAATATCTATTGAAAAAGATCATAACTTAAAGCATGAATGGATATAATACTAATCCATGTAACACCAGTAAATATTATTCCTCTTTACAGTGTTTACATACTTACTTCTATTGCTATTCTATATTTGGATATTGAGTCATGCTCCTTTTTATGTCCACTGTAATCATTAAATGAACCCAGCCCACACCCACTATACACCGTGATTACAGCATGGTGAGTTTGCTGCTGGTACCCATCAGTTGCCTCCAAAGACCCACAGGCTGACCAAACCCAATAACACTCTTCTTCTTCTTCTTCTTTAGCGTGACAGCTGCCTTCACCTCTGGTGTCCACCATCTGGTTCGGGGTTCCCACCATGACACTCACCAATCACTTTGTGGCCAAAGAGTCTTGCAACTGCTTCAGCAATGGAGGGATGTGTGTGTGTGAGTCACCGTGAGGTACCAAGGTAGCAAGGTTGGTGCAACACACACAGGAATCACTCTATTTTTTATATATATAACTGCACTACTCTTCTGTGGCACTAATATTACAGGAAATTAACATGGTTGTTCTGTGAAAGAGGTTAAATATATCCACCAGGTGTGATAATGCACATGTAAGTAGGAGGCGCAGGTCCTTAACTTTCCTGAAACGGCACACTCACACAGTTTGTTCTGAAACCACTGAAAGACGTTCCTGCTGCTTCCAGTCTGTGGCTGAGGTCAAGCTATTTTTGCTCTTTGTGGATTCCCCTGCCTCTCTCTCTCTGACCACAAGCTATGAGCACAAAGAAGAACAAAAAGTGAGACCAAAGGTTACTGACCCCGTAAAAGTGCCAGCGTTAACAGCATACCACACAATAAACTATACATAACATTATACTTACTGGCATCATTAAAACATTGCGTTCCATCCATACTGTAGTCAAATAATATTTATAATTGTTTTATGTTTTATGTTTTGTTTGTCAAACAGTGAAAGAGAACAAGATTGAAACTCAATCACAGCAGCAAACATACAAAATAAATACACAAAAAACTGAAATAATTGAATGTTGTTTAACATATCTTTTGCAGATGAATCATAAAATATTATTAAATTATTTTTAATTCATTGATTTTGAACAAACCTTTCCTTAATTTGTGTGTTGAACCCTGTTTACTTTCTCTATAATGGAAGAAGAAAAGTGATGTCTGGACTGAAGCTAGGTCTAAAATATGGCTCGCAGTGACAGTTTGACAGCTTCTGTTTGTCAGAGCTGTCGAGTGACTTGAGGACAGAAGAGGAAGATGCACATGATTAACCACAGAGCTGTCAGTCATGGAAAACATAAAGCCAACATGTCAGGATGTTTACAGCTACAAAACTACTAAATTATTAACCTAATCAAACTACAAATAGAGTACACAGGTGAACAGAACAATAAAAATTATATTTACTGTCTGTACAGACACTTATGTAAAACTTAAGTCTTTCTTTACTTGTCTTATTAACCCTGCAGGGAAACTTTCATCAGAAACAGGAAACTGGAAACCTCAGAGCTGTTATTGATAATTACATGTGGGGGAAAAAGCACTAAAAATAACACTATAAAAATCCCACAAAGCATAATAACTACAATGTGCTCATTCAGTAAAATATTTCTATATCTACACTATTTAAATATTTAAAGTCGCTAAATATTTAAATAGTAATGATATAGCAAAATTTGAAATACCTAAAGTACTTTAATTATTTCTATATCTCTCTTTGCTTTACACTGAGGTGAACGAGACCACGTCACATGATACAGTCATGTGACGTGGTCTCGTTCAGTGGTTTCAGTTTTACGGATTTCTTCTTTTTTAATGTTTCTGTGATGAATGATGAACAGTGATGAACGGTCAGTTCAGGAATCCTTTCAACAAAAGACTTTAATTGGCAAATAAGTTAAACTTAGTTGTGGCACGAGGGCTTGATGTGAGCTTGAAAATCTTATTTAAAAACAATATATATCCCTGTAAGTCATGTGACTGTCCGTCACTCATAAATCTCCTAGAAGGAAACACCCACTTAAAGTGGGTGTTGTGGGTGTTATAGGCTCATAGCCTGTTCAGCTTCTCTGTTAACAACCTGATCTGGGATCTGTAGAGCAATGAGAGATGCGTTCAGGAACATCTGCGATGCTCTTCTGGATTCTGCTGTTTGCCTGCCTTCTGTTGTTCGTGTGTACAGGTGAGACTTTACTCTTCTATTAAAGCAGCGACCTGGTGTCCCTGTGACTGTGCTCTTAAACTGATTCACCTTTACTCTCTCTGTAAACACGTACAACAAAATCAAGAGTTTGAAAGTCTTGACTTTGTCAGTGTTACAGTCAGGTGGGCTGTAGGCAGAGGTGATGATTACTACACTTTAGTGTCCACCTTAAAGTTTGCAGCGGATTTGCATTTTATTCTCACATTTTTGCTTTTTTGTGTTGTGTTTATTAATCACAAGTTTATCATCGTCATCATCCAATAACGTCTGTGATTGGTGCAGGCAGCAGGGCTCATTTTGAGTCATGTGACCTCATTTTAATGTGACGGTCTGAAGCAGATGAAACCAGAAACTGCTAGAATGAAAGTGTGAAAGCAAAAACACATCCTGTAATTATATGAGACTCTATTTTTCTTATCTTTTAATAACTTAAAAAAATATTGTTTATTAGTTTATTTTTAAGCCTTCTAAATAAAACCCATTAAATAAACTTTCACCTGTTTGGGGTTACTAACTGGGGTTGCTCATAATCTGGAGCTTTGGCCACGCCTACAAAGAGCCAGCTAGATGTGTCAGTGGTGTTCAATACGAATTAAAGTTAATGTTGCTTTGTACATTTTAAAAGTTGAAAAAATTCATTTTAAAACCCTTTAAAATATTTTTAAAAAGTCTGCAGAGACAAAGTGCCTCAAAACTGGATGAAACTCTGGATTTTTGCCTTGTATGCATCTTGTCTGTTTCCCTTAGTTACTCCTGGCGTTTACACTAAACAGTCAGTGTCTCTTTAGATCCCACAGAGGTTAACGTGGAGCCTGGAAA